AAAAGCTGGTGGAGGCAGCATATAACCAATCATACTGATGAATAAGCAAGAGAACAACTAATTTTCCAGTGGAGGTCATAACTATACTATTAGAAAATGTGAACACCGTAAAAACTTACTACAAGCTGAAAGCGACAGTTTCATTGTTTCACTTCTGGTTTTTATAGGTAAATGATAATTATGAAAACAGAGTTCACACGTAGACTTAAACCTATGTGCAAATTTGTAATTTGCAATAAAGTTGTGTCAAAATTTTGCATAACTGTCAAGGAAAAATCAAGAGAACCTAAATTTCTCATCACGGAAACACAAAAACTTGACTCTTCATGCACTGAGGTCTGGTGGATCTTTAAACCTTTTTTTTCTGTTTGTTTATTTTGGTTTTCCCAAAGATTTTTCCAGAGAATTGATTGAATTGGTTGAACTGTCAGTAGGCGTGGATTTCATATCTCAAACATACCCTGTTGAACAAATTTGGCCGTGAGTTCTTTAGCACTGGACTAGCTAGCCTCATAACACTGGAAAGAGTTAACCCTGAAGTTGTGTTAATAAGCCCCAATCCGGCTTTATAAGACCGACCTCAGGTGTCTGACTGTCTGGCAACCCTACGATCATGAACTGATGTACAAATTGATGAATAAAATTTACTAGAATACAGATAATTAAGTGACTTGACTGCAAACCTCTCTATTAATGTGAAAATGAAAAGTATTCCCATATGTGTGTGTTCTTTTCTCGTGTTACAAGCATTAATTGGCCTTCTCTTCTGATACCAGTTTTCTTTTCATCTTCCCCCAGAGTTGTGTTTTTTTTTCTTTCTTTTTTTTTCCCTTTTTCGGTGTACTGCCGCCCGCCGCCTCGGTAACGAGTGCTTTTGTTGGGCTTTTTTCACCTGACCTGCCAACATGCCAGCCGCACTTACAGATTCCAGTCAGATAATCTGTGAGGTCTGGGCGAGCAATGTTGAGGACGAAATGAGGAAGATTCGGCAGATTATTCAAAGCTACAATTACATTGCAATGGTGAGTCTCTGGCGTGATGGCCTAATTTCTTTGTCCAATGTTTTTACACAGTTGAATTTGAGGTGAATTTTGTGATATAGTCTTTTTTAATTTAGTAGATGTGGTTTTACAAATGACATTTGTCTCTAGATACCTGCCCTATTGGTATCTTTTTTTCCTGCTCCCATTATTTATTTTTAAAATCTCTGTTGATGTTTTCTGTGGGGGGGGGCAGTTGATCTCAAATATTATTTTCATATTTAATCGTAAAATTTACCTAAATGTCCTTAAAAGACTCATGACTACTCATTTCCTTAGCTTTCACTGCTCTCAGGCTCTTATTTCAGTGAGTAATGACAGATTTCTGAGTGAAGAAAAACTGTAAACAAACACTTGTTGATATTGTTCACCAGGACACAGAGTTCCCCGGAGTTGTTGTCAGACCGATTGGAGAGTTTCGGAGCACAGTGGATTACCAGTACCAGCTGCTGAGGTGCAATGTCGACCTCCTGAAGATCATCCAGCTTGGGCTCACGTTCATGAATGAGGAAGGAGATTATCCCCCTGGCACAACAACGTGGCAGTTTAACTTCAAGTTTAACCTTACGTGAGTGGACTCTCTTTAAATCCTCGTTCTTTTCATTGTGTTGCAACCATCTGAACGTTTTAGTGTACTGACTGTGACTGAATGTAGAGAAGAAGGGCTGACTTAATCACCTGCTGCATTATAACTTCATCTCCACCATATGTCTACATGTCTTTGGAACTAAGTTGAAATCATGTTAGAGCAATTGTAAATTGATTGTTGCACTCATAGACTGTATGTAAAAGATGGACACAGCTGGCTTTTACAGCACCTTCTGGTTAAAGTCCTGTAGTTAAGGGTCAAACTGCACACTGACAGTTTCAGACATACCCTGCTTTGCTGCCCTCTTTGACAATACAAAATGAGCATCATGTCATATTTGGTAAGTTTTGAAATGGTAACTGACAATTTGCTCTGTGACTTCCTAATGAGATCAAAAGAGCCAAAGGGTTGTTTTTTTTCCCGTAGATGTCTATACAACCGCAGGTCTTTTTGCAGCTGCGGGATTCGCCACCTGCTGGCTGTTTAAAAAGGCACATTTCAAAGCGTGAAGCTTTTTTAAACAGTGTGAATTTACTAAATGTGTTTTTCTCCGGTTCTCCTTCCAGAGAAGACATGTACTCGCAAGACTCCATAGACCTGCTTCAGAACTCTGGCCTCCAGTTTAAAAAACACGAAGAGGAGGGAATCGACACGCTCTACTTTGCTGAGCTCCTCATGACGTCCGGCCTGGTGCTGTGTGAAAACGTCAAGTGGCTCTCCTTCCACAGGTCAGTCGTGTGTTTGCACCCTACACCACCTTTTAGTTGTATACAATAAAAAAAATGATTTTAGCAACAAATAAATGGTGTAATGTTGCTCTCTGCAGACCTTTCTAAAACCATGAATGAAGCTCAGCATGTGTAGTGTTAAAGCAAACTGAACCGTTTTCTTAGAGGTATTTCTGCATCTGTGAGGTGTTGAACGAGTTTCTGAATCTGTTTCTTTTAGCGTTGTTTCTATCCCAGGAACTTTAACCAAAGAGTAGGAGGTTTGAAGGAAATGGATTCCATGGCCACCGGGATCTAAATTAAACTCTGAGAAATAATTTTAGTGTCCCAAAGAAGCAATAAGCTGAAAGAAGGGAACATTTGACTTCCTTTAAAGCTCCTGGGACTAAAAGTTGTGGATACTGGTAGAAATGAAAAGGCTGAACCTGATCAGTTTAGACATCTGTTACATTCTCCAAGACACAGTCCACCTAAATTCTCAATTTCATTTCGGGAAATAATTTTAAATAAGTCTCGTTCCTGCAGAGAAGACTGTAAGTAATTCTTTAGACGTCATCAGTGTAACCCAGCTGGCCTCTTGTCCTTTGGTCCTCAGTGGGTATGACTTTGGCTATTTGGTGAAGCTCCTGACGGATGCACGCCTTCCCGAGGAGGAGCACGACTTCTTTCAGATCCTCAACTTGTTTTTCCCAGCGATCTATGACGTCAAGTACTTGATGAAAAGCTGCAAGAACCTGAAGGTAAACCTGGACAATTGAGTCACTACATCTGAGTTGGTGCTTCGGCTAGACTTGAAGCTGTTAATGGCTCGCTTTTAAATAGAAGACATCTGTCAGATCAGATCAGGATGAGTTTTGACAGATATCTGACCGTGGTGTGTTTGCAGGGAGGGCTACAGGAAGTGGCAGACCAACTGGAGCTGAAGAGGATTGGACGGCAACATCAGGCTGGGTCCGACTCACTGCTCACAGGCATGGCGTTCTTCAGGATGAAGGAGGTACGCTCTCACAGATACCGGTTTGATCTCTGGTAGAACTCACGATGGCATCTGCAGCATTATTAAATGCTCATGTTTGCTCTTTATCCGAACTTTGAGTTACTTTGGAGATCTGAGTCAAAAGATCAGATATTACAGTAGTTTAATGTAATTTACCACTTTAAATATTTAATGTTATTCACTAAACTCAAACTGGACTTATTTAGCATGTTTGTGAATCCAAACGTCCTTTCTTTGAAAATAAATATGAATTTAAACTAATGGAAATCAGATACAAATTAAGCAAGTTTTGATCAAACAACATTCCTGTTTGCACACCTGAGACAGTGTTTGAGTCATGTCAGTGAAACTTTATATTTTGTCTGCAGCTTTTCTTCGAAGACAACATCGACGACGCAAAGTATTGTGGGAGATTGTACGGCCTGGGCTCGGGCTCCACCCAACCCCAGAACGCCATCTCCAGCTCGGGCCAGGAGGAGACCAACAACAAGCACTGACCGAGCGCTCGACCCTCCAAGTGGAACATGCACTTGTTTTAAAACCCAACCAGCAGACCCCCACCACATGCTCTCAGACGTCCCTCGGCAAGACTTTACTAAATGCATATTTGTTTGAGCGTCGCCCTGCCAAGTGACTCGGTGACAGTGGCTCCTTCACCGCTTTCCTTTTAGTCACTTTTATGAGTATATGGCCATATATTCATAAGACTTTTTTAAAAAAAGCTTTTTTTGTTTTCTTCTCTCTCACAGCATCAGTGACATCTTTCTTTACAGCATGGGACCAGCTGCTCGATCTTACTGTGATTTTTAGACCAAACATTGACACGAAAGGTCGGGTCTTTTTCATCAGCCGGACTCTTCTCTTGTTGCAGGGATTTTTTTTTTCTTTCCTTCTTTCTTTTTAAGTTAATGCTGGAAGGGCCTGTAAATTAAAATGTATAATTTTGATGCAAATAAATGTTTTAGCTCTTTTCCACTTTGAGAAACTTTTAACAGTGGGAGTTGGAGTGTATAATTGTGCTTGGGTACTCACATGCTTCACTGGCCAAACTGCTGTCCTTCTGTACATTCACCCTCAGATCAAACTGTCCACGGTCACTTGTGCAGGTGTTGTGGTCACTTTTCTTTTTTTACATTCTTCATTGTTTTAAACAGTTGTACATTAAATTGTTTTGTATTTTCAATGCAAGCAAAAAGCATTTGCTCTTTTCTTAAGTAGATTTACAGAAACACAGTGTGTGTCTGTGTGTAGAAGGGTTAATGATATATAGATGGACTCCATCACAGTTTGTGCTCATAGAGAAAATTCTGATAATTTTGGAGAGAGAAGATGAGCATTTTGCACAAATGTACAGCTTTCTGAAAACAGGAAAATCTCCTCCTAAATTTTGCTTCGACTCCTAAACCATTCGGTGCTGCAGAGAAAATACTGATGGTTTTTGAAAGGTGAGCTTTAATTTTACAGGCAAAATTAAGAAATACGTCCAAGCGGCCTGTACGATACAACAAAGACTTCTGTGATCATGTTCTTTTGAAGATGTTCATTGAAAACGAAATTTGACATGTCAGTGTGTATATCAAAGGTGTGCTAAGACGACCATTAGTTTTTCTAAGGGAAGCTGTGTAGTGAGAGACCACCTTCACTACCTTCTGATGCACACACAGTTCTATAAGGTTACTCCTGAAAAGCTTTCCATGATCATTTTAAATCAGTTTTTTTTTTTTTTTCTTAAAGACTTCTCTAGAAGCGGCAGATATTTTATGCATCGGTTTTTACAGTTGGGACTAAATATGCAGAAACACCAGTGAAAACAGTGTTTGGTTATTTTGCTCCAAAATAAGGCTTTAAAAACTTTCCCCACACAGTCACCTCTGCCATCATCTCTTTTGGTGAATTCTCCACTGGGTTTAAACTCAGGGCTCTTGTTCAGTCCGGCTGGACATTTATGTTCTTATGCTTTCAAAGGTAACAGATATTACTCCATCCAGCCCAGTTCTTATCAATATACAGTAGATCCATCAATCTGGGATTGTAACTATTATAGAAATAATTTGACCTTGTCCGGCTTCAGAATTGGTGAGACTCCTTCAGGCACTTTTAAATGTGGAATCAAGCTGACTCAGGACTTTTTATTAAGTTTGTTTTTATTGTAGAAAAAAACTGCAGAAATGCTGCTTTGAGTGTATCAGAAAACTCAAAGAAACATATCAGAGTGTGTAAAGTCTGCAGTTTGGAACCACGTGCTTTTTGAGGTGTCTGACTGAACACATCTGAGCATGCTTTGTGTGGATGCAGGTAAACAGTCAGTGTAGCAGCGGAGACATGAAGTCAGACCATCAGGCGGGTCCCCAAACTGCCAGCAAATGAATCAGATGAGGAATCGCTGCGAGGCTTTCAGGACAGAGGGACTTGTCCCATATTTACGAAGCAGATCTTTAGCTTCTTGTAGGAGCGAGTCCGAGAAAGACATTGAAGATTTGCTGAGATGCAAAAGAACCAGACAGCATTCCACAACATCTGGGTGAGGGTACACCTGAAAGACAAAAACATTCATTCTGTAGCCCTGCGGATCAGTGTTTCATCCTAATAATATATTAAATTGCAAATATAATAATACATCTAAAAACTGAAGAGCATCTTACATCACAATAAAGAGTTCCTGTAACATGTGAAGAGAAATCTGCAACATAGTGAACTATTTGTGCAACTTAAACTCTTCATACTAAGCACTTCTTGCTGTTAAGATGTCAAACTGTCTGGTTGTGCTAATCAGAAATGGAAAAAAAACAAGGAGCATGATGGGATAGCCAGCAGGTACCCTGAGGGTAGAGCTGTGAGCAGAGAAACAGGTCAAAACTGACACATGAAACTGCTCCCCTCTCTCTCTGTGATCTCTCTCTGTAGGTGGGAGATCATAGAGGGAGCACAAAAGTCCTTGGTATATCTTACTACTTGACTGTCATGTTGAAATGACAAATACCGCACGCACAGAATCAACATTAACATCCTCTCTGAAAGGTTTACTTCCACGACTGCCTTCAGGATACTTTGGGAGAGACGACTCTCTCTTGTAAGCTTTGGTTGTACCTTGAGTGTGTTTGGCAGCTCAGCCAGCTCTTTCTGATGCTTGGACATCTTCGAGGATAATGACAGCAGAGTCTCCGGGTCCTCAGAACTGGGGAGAAGAAACAGCTGCCTGATTCAGCAATCAAAGTTAATCACAAAGAAAATAAGACCACGAGATGGCTGAGACTGATGGGAATGAGGTTAGTTTTAGACATGGCCCTGCCAGATTTCAAAGAAAAAGTGATGCGCAGTAAAACTAGTTTTATAATCATGGCTATAGTGCTATGATCATGGGTCTGATAATCACATATAAACAATAAAAACATAAGAAGCTGGCACAAAGCTCTCACCCCTGCTCAGCCTCAGCAGAGTCCTGACTGTCTGAGGATTCCCTGGTGGTGGAAATCACTGCAGGGCTGTCATCCCGTTTCTCCCCAGAGTCGAGCTGCCCTCCCTGGGTCTGGCTGTGCTGCTGCACCATGGCGGCGAGCTGCTGCTGGATCTGTCTCACAGCTCTCTGGGTGGCCTGGCAGGCAGCGTGAGGCTCACACAGAAGGAGTGATGGATCTAAGCCCAGTTTATGAAAACTCCCACTCACAGGACGGTGGGTCTCTGCAGACTCCAACAGCCCTCCGTTTGACACCTCATCCTTCACTTCATCTTCAGGAGACGAGTCAGGCAACGACAGGGAGAGGCCGTTCTGGATCTCCTGGCTGCCTCCCGAGGTCCTCCACCAGCATTCATACAGGCGGTGGTAAAGGACAAAAGCCTGAAGACTGCTGGCAGCAGCTTTGGCTGCTTCTTCCGTGTGATGAAGCACTTTGGGATGTTTCCGAAAACTAACACTGACATCGCCTGACCAACAGAGAGAAAAGCAATTTTCAGGAAATGTATTCATTATTAATGCAGATTAACCTGTTTATTCCTTTTATTTATTTATTTACTTAAAAGCAGAAAAGAGTACAACATACAAACTGCTCACAGGGGCTCGTCTGATTGTTTCTCTGTATTCTTTCAGGGTCTTTTAACATTACAATATTTAAGTGCCCTGAGGTGACTGCTACGATTTAGTGCTATACAAATAAAATTGAACTGGGTGGCTTTGCAGTATCTGCAACAGCTACAGAGCAATGCAAAAGGCTACCACTGCTACATGCCCAGAAAGGCCGCTGAGCTCAGTGTGGTCACCCTGTTCACATATATACAGAGGCTCCTCCCTCTGCTACCACCAAAAATACAGTCTACTCCTGTGAGAGACACTGCAAGGTAAAGCTGCTAATGCCTGTCAAACACAGTTATTTTACATTGTCCTAACATTTAAATTCATGCATAAAAGTCTCATGAATCTAAGCTCAGATGTTACAACACATATCACCACAAGGTGTCGCCAAAACGACTGCGACAGAACTTAAGAAATGCTCATCTTCTGGCTAAAATGTCAGTTTGCCCTTATTCTGTCTCAGTAGTGCAGCCACCACATTTAGGATTGATATGATGTACCCTGATGGACAGATGACTTCACTGTTCTGTTAATAGGACGTACCATCTGGGAACAGCAGCCTGCAGAGCTCTGCAGAGACACAGAAGTGTCCGGCCTCTCTCGGCCAAGCCACTGCGTGCCACAGCTCTGTCACCAGCTGATCATCATCAGCCAGTAACCAGCTGAGCACAGCACAGGTCAGGTGGAGGGATGAATGCAGCAGGACCTGCAGATGGAAAGGCACGTGGACAAGATTTTAGTCTAAATTCATTAAAAGACTTCCTTTAGTTTTCTTTCAGTTCTCTGCTTCAAATATGCTTCTACGTCACATTTAAGCTGTTTTTTTATATCTTCTGTTGTGCATGCTTCAGTTCTTCTATACATAATACATTTGTTTCCAGCCGTATCATCAATTATGTACCTAGTTTGTGTCTGTACCTGTCTGAGAGGACTGTTAGCAGTGGGCATTGGGCTCTCTGCAGACTTGAGCTCCTGCAGAAGAGCCCCGAGGCTCTGATGTGAAACAGCAAACTGCTCCTCCCACACATCTCTCACTCGATCCATGATGCTAATGTGACGCTCACCCGGTGACGCCCACGGGTGACGGGAGGCGCAGGATGCTGCAGGACTAACTTCAGAGTCTCCCAGCATCTCAGAGAGCAGCTCAGCCACACAGAGATGCAGCCTGTGGACCTGCAGAGGGTTGGAACAGGTTTCACAGACTTTCAGTTCATCTTCTAAACCCAAATTCACACTCCGACTACTAACCAGGAGGCTGTCTTGCAAACTCAGGACCTCCTGTGCTCCGACCCAGTCTCGAGCGGCTGCCAGGTCTTTGGCACATCTCAGCGACAGAGACTGAGCCAGAGAGGAGTCTCCTGAGATTCTTGCTAGACTGGCCGCGGTCCTCAGTGACAAGACGTCATTCTTCCTGGCGATGACCTTGGCGGCGTCAAAGCTGGCATCGGCAGCGAGGTAGCTGGGAGATGATGTCAAACCAATGAGAGAGGACCCATTTAACAATGTTTGCAAAGCAATTTAAATAATCATTAAGAGCAACTTTAAACTTTCTAAACACTTCTCACCACTTAGCTGCTGCAGAAAAATGCCCATCTTTCTCCAGCACTGCAGCCCAACACGTGTACAGCTCCTTCAGGAGAGGTTCGTCTGCTGGCAGCCGGGCTTTAACCAGCGCTATGGCCTCCCTGATAATAACAGAGAAACAAAACATATCACCAGAATATGTAGCAAACAAACCTGGAACAGAACTTTTTGATTTAGAGGAACAAAACAAAGCAACAGTAAATAAAGCAAACCTGTAAAGCTTGTGGGAGCGCAGCAAGTCGACTGCCTCGTAGAGTTTGTTGATGGACAGCAGGTGGGACGCCGCTTTCAGGTACTGCTCCTGCAGACACAGCTGCTTGACGAAGGCCTCCACTGTCCGGCTCCACACCACGAACCCAGCTGGAGGAGCAAATAAAACACTTCCCATTACACCAAAAGCAGAGAAAGTGGATCAAGAGCTGAGTAAAGAAACCGAGCCGTTTATATTTTTAGCAAATATCGACCCCATTTGTTGACATGGCCATAAGATGACATTTACCCTGTCAGCAGCTGATATTTATCCCTTGGCTTACATACATTTTGCACTGACTAAATGTTCAAAAACGAACCCTTCAGCTGATCCAGAAAGCTGCAGCGAGTGCGTTAACAGGGACAACATAGAGAGAGCATATTTCCCCCCACACTGGCTTCTCTTCCTCCCTCTGGAAGTCACAATCAAATTTATGTCAAATCAAATGCTTCTCCTCACATACAAAATCTTATAATCAAACCGTGTCATATATAAAAGACCTCATGGTACCGTACGATCCTAACAGAACACTTCGCTCTCAGACTACGGGTTTACTTGTGGTTCCCAGAGTATTTAAAAGTAGAATGGGAGGCGGAGCCTTCAGTTTTCAGGCCCCTCGTCTGTGAAACCAGCTCCCAGCTGGGATTCAGGAGACAGACACCATCTCTACTTTTAAAATTAGGCTTAAAAACTTTCCTTTTTAATATAGTATACAGTTAGGGCTGGATCAGGTGACCCAGAATCCTCATTTAGTTATGCTGCAATAGGGTCTAGGCTGCTGGGGGCATCCCATAATGCACTGTTTATTCTGCACTCACCCTTTTCACTCACTCTGTGTTTATACCCCGCTCTGCTTTTAATCTTTAGTTATTATTATATTTCTCTCCCGCTAAAAGGGAGTTTTTCCTTCCTATTGCCACCAAGTTCTTGCTCATAAAGAGTTCTTGGATTGTTGGGTTTGCCCTGTATTACTGTATTATACTACATCGCCTTGAGGTGACTATTGTTGTGAACTGGCGCTATATAAATAAAACAGACTTGAAATGAATTTTTTTTCTTAGTTTCTTCAGAAAAATAAAAACAAAAGAAAAATAAGACTGAAATAAATATTAGGATCAGTTGTATAACTGAGACTACATGCGAGTCACTGAGCCTTCAGTAGGAAGGAGGAACCAGGGAACAACTACCGGAGTCAAGAAAGCAAACAAACGATGGTGGGAATGAAGAATGAAGACTTTCCTCAGAGTCTAAAATAAGAAAATAAAAAAATAAAATAAAAAAAACACAGCACAGAGAGGGCCCAGCTGCAGGTGGCATGAAGAGGACACTCTCCATTTTTAACATTTTTCTTTTAGTGGGCTTCTGTTGATCAAAGTCACTGACACTGTGGAAGTGGTCACAGTTGAAAAGAATAGAGAAAGTTAAAATATATAAATGAACAAACATAAAATAATAAAATATGTTAGTCCTTTAGTTACAACGTTATGGGTCCCAGATATAGTATAAACACTTTGATGATACACCTGAGGACTACACCTTCTCTGCCTACACCTGTGCCAGTGTCACACACTCTGCAAAGGCTCAGGTTAAGTCAATATTCTTGCATTTACCCATGGGAGCGATGGAGAGCAGGTGGTCGTTCAGCTCTCCTTTCTCTGTGGCGAGCTGCAGCGCCCCCTCCAGGTCGCCGCTCCACAGCCGCAGGTACACTACGGAGTCGAAGTGACCCGCCTCCACGTGGCCCTCCTCTGAAGGGCAACATCAACGTCACAACGGATGAGTCATCCAACACATCATGTAAAAGAACTCCTCTCCATTTAAAGCTTGTTCCGAGAGCTGAACACGCATTCACCACTTTAACTTTAAAGACTCAGACGAAAAACTAAAGCGCACCTTCTGCATCAAACATGCGGTACAGAGCCTGTCTGTCAGCAAACAGGCCCAGATGGATATGATCTCCCTGGCCTGGGACACAGCCTGTGGGAGGTGCTGGAATATAAATGCACACGCTCATTGAACAGTCCAGATGATATTTGCTTATCAGCTTCATTTTGCTTTCATGTAAGCAGAAAAAAAGGTTAAAAGGGTTACATTTTTAAATAAAACTTTATTAAAAGTATAGTCTTTACAGTAATCACTGTCTAAAACGATAAACTGCATGGTGGTCTTACTGTTGTCGTGTCTGACAGAAGCCAGAGTGATGCAGTCCTGCAGCAGCTCGTCTTTGGGCCGGTGGTCCATGGATGTACTGAGAGGCAACATGGAGCGAGGCTTTTTCTTCTTCAGCCCAGTTAAGTCTTAAGATAGACACACGCACGGTTACATACAGAAATGTGCCAAACACCCGTTTCAAAAGGACATCTGTGCATACCTGGCTTGTCTTTACTCTTTACAGCAGCCGAGGATTTTCTCTGCATCTCAAATGTGGCTGAAAGACAGAAAATATTTGGAGCTTCAACGCAAAAGTAGCAGAAAATCTTGAAATGGCAACTGCTGTTTTCTGAACTGCTACCTGGTGAAGGTGCTGGGCTGCTTGTTGAGCTGGCTTCATCTTCGTCATCTTCACCTGACACCCCTTGTCCCGTCACTGCCCTCTCTCCGATTGTCACCGGCGCTCCATTGACCTCTGGCTGTGCAGCTCCCTCGGCCCCCGATGGCCCAGCCTTCTTGTTCTTCTTCTTCTGCTTCGTATTGGCCTTCATCTTCTCTTTCAGGTCGACCATCTTTTTCCCTGAAAGCATATGCGTGTCACGGCCTGCTGGTCAGACAGAAAGGCCGTTTTGTGCTGGTTACGGTTCTGGCGTTACCTTTAGGCGGCTTTGTGAACTCTTGTTTGGAGACGCTCCACTCCTGCAAGGTGAAGTCCTTCCCTCCAGTCCAGATCACATCTGGATCCACAGGGGACCAGTCCACACACAGCAGATAACCAACGTGTCCTCTGTAGTTAGAGACAGCTGCTTCCTCCAGAACATCCCACACCTAAAGAACAAGAATATTCAACAATAAAACCCAAAGATGTGTCGACATGCTGAGAGCAACATAAAAACACGTCTGCCAACTGAAAGCCAACGTGTTGAGGCAGAGATTCTTATGCATCTACCGCCATCATTTACAGGTTTACACCCATCCACTGACCTGCGCTGTGCCATCATATGAGACAGTGACGAGCCGAGCGTTGTGATGCGGACTCCAGGCCATGCCGGTGATTTTAGCCGTATGGCCACACAACCTCCGATAGGGCTCCGTCAGCACCACGGGGCTTTCTGGAGGATTTTCTGCACAACAAACAAAACACTGATGTAAATACAAACACAGCCATCAAAGCCTTAAATATGTCATTTACCTTTTTACTCGCTCTTTACTGACAGTTTAGATTCTTCCAAATTGACATAATGAGGATTGCAGTACAGTTCGGTTGACATACTACATGTTAAAGAGGACTCACCTATAACAGAGCGGAGATCGTGCACGTAAACGATGGCGTTGCTGGAGCCCGAGGCCAGGAGGCAGTGCAGCTCAAGTGCAGAGCTGTGGTCGTGATGCCACCGTAACGTGTTAATGATCTTGTGGTGCTGCTGGATGCTGCACAGCAACTTCAGACTGGGAGCCTGATATACGTCGATACACCTGCAGCACAGAGCAGCTGGTCAGCTGGTCGCAAAAAGCACAAAAACACTTCAAGCAGAAATGAAAAGCAACTGTAGTCCCGAGACGACAAGCAAACAAAGAAGGCAGTACGGGATGCAACGTATGAGATTACAGAAGAAATATCTGACTTTGTTCACCAACCAGCTACCAGCTGTGCTTTGCATCTATTGGCAGGTTGTGTACAGTGGGTTTACCAGCTGTCTTTTTTAGACATCAGCTACCTCAACGTAGCCAAGATATCTGCAAAAAATTACATTTTTACAGCTGAATATTGACCATTATTAGTTACATTACAGCTATTGAAAAAATGCTAAAGTGCATCTCCTGACTTCAGGAGTGCCCTCCTGAATTTTTATTATCTTAAACACACCATCCATACATTCTAACACCTACAGAAAACACATTTTATGACCTCATCCTTTGGACTTTTTAATGACCTGTGAGAACTTTGTGCAGAGTTGTGCAATAACTCTGTAGGTTCATGAATCCAGTTGCTTGTGAAGACGTATGATGAGCCACAAAGTGAAACAAACAAGCTGCGAGCCATTTTCTATTGCATCTAATAAATCAAATGTGGTTTGCTTTGAACCTGGCTGGTTCAGGAAGTGTAGACATCTACATGTGTCAGTGTGGCACCCAATCATAATCCCTGAGAGCGACCTAGATAAGAGGGGGCAACAGTTCAAACAGAACAAAATTCATTATTCTGTAGCCTGGAGTCCAGACACTGTCAGCAGACAGTTGGACCCTCAGAGGACTCCCGCCGGCTGCTGATGGTGTGTTACAAGATGGGTCACGCCAGACCGTTCACTCACCCATCCTCGTTGCCGATGGCAACAACTTTCCCATCTGGCTTCCAGCTGAGGTCGGTGTGTGGAGACAGCTTGTGCTGTTGGGAAGCAAATTTTACCTTTGTAACTTATTCAAATCCCCTTTATTTACATTCAGCAGCAGACATGAAACAAACTGTTGCAGGCACGAAGGACCTGCAGAGTGAACTTGTGCTGTCAGCTTTCTTAGTGTGTCAGGTTTTATTTTGCCTGACATGTTGTTGGTTCACTGAGGGCTTAATGAAATCTCTGCACAGATAAAAGTCCTGCTACCAGACTACAAAGCAACAAAAACACGTCTCTATACATGTGACTGCTTTACTGTCCATCTTACCAACTGCACACAAAGCTCTCTTTGCTTGGTGCTGGAAGTGAGATGATGGTGAGGAGGGTGTCAGGCTGGGTTATTTGTGCCTTTATCTGCAATGCAGCCTATAACAGAGTCCTGTTTGATAACTGATCTTATTTCAGTACAAAGTTAGGTTGTTGGGAATTACATCAGGAATCAGTGACCACCAAAGTGATTAGCAATAGATTGCTGAAGATTTGCTTTATTATATTTTAATCTCAGCAGCACTTATTCACCATCCTCTCGAAACATGAAAAAAAAAAAGAAAAAAAAAGAAAGAGGGAAATTCTAGTTTTAAATCATCTAGAGGTTAAATTAACGGCGCTTTTGCAGAAAGGCTAGTTTTTGTTTCACAGGGCGTCCACGTTTGTCAGTGAAGGATTTCATCGTATTGGGAGCACACGACAAAGAGTAGAGGAGAGAGAGGTGAGCAATGTTGTGCATATAAAAACAGATTAAACAAGTTTGTAGAACCAGGAATGTGCTACAATCCTGCAATTAGCTCTAAGTGTGTCCAGTGTTAACCAGTGTTACAAGCTAGCATTATCTCAGGGAGGTGGTGAATGAGATGAGCCCTCATGTGCATAATATTTCCAGAATATTTTAATTTAATTAATAAAATATTGGTATTTGTCATCCCTGGATCCATACAATATCACCACATAATCCTATATCAATTTTTTTACCCCACCCCTTACAAATATGATCCCTTCATGTGCGTGACAGTGGTTTCCACCACTGCATTATGGGTAACTACGTGTTAAAGAAAGAATCGTTAGGATCAAAAAGGATCAGTGAGTAATACTTCTGAGTTATTTATCTGGGGATAAAGGGACTGCATAATTACATCATCATCATCACATCAAAGCCCCTCCCACCTTGATGTCGTTAGTATCTCTGATGAGCTTGTCGATGTCCGACGCCTCTCCGTTCAGCTTGTATGGATCGTGCTGGAGTATGACGCCCTCGCCGGCACAGCTGTACAGACTAAAGGAAGGTTTTCCTCCTGCTGTCCCTGAACGCCACACAGAACATAAAACTCAGTGTCTTCATGACAGAGGGTCTACTGTGGACAAACTGTGGGTTTCAAGTGTTTTTTGATAGCGTTTACCGCTACATAACAGTGTGTTAAAGCCAATTACTTAAAGACATTTTACTGCATTACAGTAAATACTTTTAGTTTTTAACTAGAACTTAAATGATTAGTTAATTGGACACCTCATTAATTCGAGCAAATCGTAAATTTGTAATGGCATCTTTAACTTGAAATGACTTCACGACTGCAATCTTCACACAGGAGAGCCGAACTTAAACATTTTAAGGACCACAAGTCTCAAAGATATAAATGAATTAAAGACTTGGTTACTATAACTACCCATTCAATATATACACAGGCATTATTATAGGTAATATAGATAAGATAGACTAATCTGTGAACACCAGGTATATAGAAGCCGTAATGTAAAGAGCAAAGGAAGCATGGCGGCTGACAGCCCTGAGAAGCAGCTGGTCCTGATTTACTCTGCACACCTATTGTAAGTCATGCTGACAATTTGAACCAATCACAAGTCCACGAATGGAGCTGAACTGGTGCCAATGCTGTGGGTAAACTAATTAGCAGCTACTTTTGTTTGTTTAGGAGCCATCAGCAGAATTTTTGGCAGTGCAACAATTACATTTATGGCTTTGAAGCCCAGTGACTGATACGCTAATCAAAATGTCATCTGCCGACAGCTGGTAAAATTAACTTCCTACGTCTTGATTTCCCCACATGCGGCTCAAGAGGAAGGAGGTGAGGAGTAAGTGTTTTCTCAGCTCACTCAATTACAGGGTCGATTACGAAAAGGCGTGCAGAGATGGTTGGGCTTTTTCGCTGACTCTCTGCTTATTTGGTGTCCCACTGCCAGGCTTTTTGCTGGGTCAGAGCGTTCAGAGCAAACAACAGCAGTTGCTAAGAGTTCATTAAGAACTTACCAAATGACATTGGGGGGACCGGCGGCCCCCAGGCCAACGTGTACACCGTTTTTCTGTGATAGGAGCTCGATATCTGAGGCGGCCTGGGAGGAGATGAAGCAGAACAAACGCTCGGTTAGGGATGTGTGATGTGTATAGCTGCAGGAAAACAGGCCTCAAGGGAGTATAAGAAGAAACCACAAGACTCGCACCAGAAAACAAGCAAAAGATGGACTTTGAAAAGTTTTCTGAAAACTCCAACTGAAATCACAACAGTTCTGACGTTTTGCATAAAAATAAATAAATAAGAAAGCAATTTTCTTACAAATTATTTAAAGTTCTGTTTGTTTCTTCAAGTTGATTTATTCTGCATTTCCTTTTTTTTTCTGTCAAATGCTGGTATAATACTGGTGGATGAAAGTTAGCAACACCACAGATTCAAATAATGAGATCACCACAAACCTCATTCACACTCATTTTTACAGGTGCTTTTTTCTAAGCATAGCATTCATGCACTTGCTCTTGGAGAGATGCATCACAGGAAACGTTTGGAGTTCGGCTTTTTGCCCGCAGACACTCTGAGATGCAGGTCGGAGGAGCCAGACCGACCTTTGGATCAGCAGACAACCCGCTGTACCTCCTGAACTACAGCTGCCACATTTTAAATAGGTGTTTTACTTATGCTTTGGGTCTTTTGGTTGATGGGATTTCACTGTATGGTCATTTCAGACACTGGTAAAGCCCTGTAATCCACTAAATGATGCCCCAGAGATTGGTACCAGTGCCAAAATCAAAACACTTCTGAAATTACTTCTTAGGAATATAAGCTCTTTAATATGTGCAAATTTGATTAACAATTAGGCAAGTCTAATGCAGTTTGTAGATCACAGTATCAGTTTTATTTTGTTTTGCTTTCAAAGGAAAGGCTTGAAGTTTGTTTTGGGAATCTCGGAAAAAGAAAGGGGAGGTGGTGTTCCATACAAGCCCTCAGTTCCGGTTGTGGAAGCCAGACGAGGGGCAGCCAATTAAAAGAAAGTGAGATACATAATGATGTTTTGAAAAGGGAATCAAGCAAAGATCATATTTTACAAATGAACATAAATGATCCTCTGTGGAAAAACACAGCATGGATCACCAAAGTTTAACACATACGCTTCTTCATAAACAATGAAAGCGTTTTGAATACCACCGACACACACACTGATATATGCTTCTGTACGTGCTGTCACCCATCGTCTATCAAGGCAACAGCATGAAACAAGCAATAAACACGATAAGCATGGGGGCGGGGTCAGACAGCTAATCTTAGAGAAATGAACCTTACTTGTTGGAGAAGACGTCATAGATACCAACTTTCCCATCATCTGTTCCAAAAGACAAAGATCCCTCTTTTGTCGGATGCCACGCCAGCTACAACAAATGAAACCCTTTTTTTATGCACTTCATCTTTTGTGTCAGCGAACAGCAACAAGCCTGTAATAATTTAGCCACTATCATCAGCCTCAGACATGATGGAAGCTTGAAGAACAAAATAAAATTTAAAGGCTGCTTAAAGCCGATAACATAAGTCTGACTTTAATGTCCTCTCAAAGTCTCATCAGCAGCTCCGCTGGATCATTTTTAAAGCAGACACTCGGACAGCCGACAAATTGTTTTTTCATCCGAGAAGTTGTTTCTTTACTGATCTGAGATCTCATCCTTTAACGTCTTTCAGAAAACTTCCTCACACACACACACAGACTTTAAAGTGAAGTAAACCATTAATATTCTTCCTGGGTATAAACTGATCATGTCCCTTATTGTCACTAATGGTTAACCATAAATCAGCTGTGCTTTGCAAAAAGAAACTCCTTACCGCTGTGACTTTGGACTTGATCCCCTGCCAGAAGGACCTGATGTCGTACTTGTTCTGAGTGGTCAGCGTGTTCCACACCCGGATCATGTTGTCACCGACACCGAGCGCCAGACATCCAGTACCCACGGGGGAGAAGGTCAGGGCGTAGACGAAACCGCCCAGGGTGGGCAGAGTCCAGCAGCACTCCAGAGAGGCCAGGTCCCAGCACTTAACCTGGAAGAATGAACCAGCTTTCAATGAACTTCCCTCTTTAAAGGCAGTTTAATAATAAATGTCAGAAATCCTTATTTGCTTTCATGCAAAATTCCCACTTTAAAAAACAGGCCAGATGAACGCTGGAACACAGCAGTGCACTCATGGCTAAAAAAGCGTCTTCGAGTGAATCTTAACAAGTGCTGGGAGATTAATCAGACCGTGGTGTCAGACGGTTGTTGCCTTTGGCTTTCGTTCTCCCTCTGGCCACCAAGGAGGTCTCCTGATTCGTGTGAGCCCACTGCCAATTGGGTTTTGTTGCTCAATTACTTTCCACAGAGGAGGATACGGGCTGGCAGCAACAGCTGTCCTCGCAAGAGCTTTACAGTTAAAAAACACCCACTGGCCTGTACTGAATTCCATACTGGCACAGGCCATGTACTGTAAGTTCAAAGGTCACTCACCTCTCTGTCCATGGAGGTGCTGATGAGCAGCTCTCTGCCATCCTGCAGGTGAACCGAACTCATGTTAAAGACGATCCTGCTGTGGTTCTGACCCTCTGAGGATGTGCCGAACAGGGTCCACCTCTGCTTCCCTGTCTTGGTTAAATCCCACATGACCAACTCACCACTGGGGAGACACCAAATTAAGCCTATCAACTCAATTATCAGCCAAGCTCTTGGATACAGCTAATGAAGGAGGCCAAAAAAAGGAAATTAAATCCAGCATTGACAAAGCACTTTACCGTTTTACATTTTAATGGGTCTGTTTTATGTTCTATTTTGCTTTGTTCCTGACATTTTGCCAAGAGACTTTCGACAAACACACCTCCAGACAATATCCTGAAAATTAGAGGCCAAATAAAAAGGTCTAAAAAGCAATTACAAGTGATTTTGCTCCCATTTGTTACAATCCTGAAATAACAATCTTCAATTTCTGCTGCTTGCAGCTACATCACAGTTTCATTGACACAGAGGGAAAAAATGTCAGTTTTAAAGTCTGTGTTTTTTATACTGAAGGAAAAAATATTAAAGCAGGCAAGTTATGTAAATGTTAAAGTGATGAGGAAAAATTCAAAACGGGCCACAGTTTTACAATCACTTCTTGTCGTGATCATTTTGTTACTCAGTCAACAACCAAAAAACCCTCTGATTGCACACACACTGTACCTGAAGCAACTGGACACGAGCTGCGTCGGCCGTCCCTTCGGCCAATGAACGCTGAGCCAGAGACGCTCTTTCACCCCGGGGTCGACTGCGGTGCCTCTCCTCTTCAGGTAGGGCAGCTTCAGAGTCATGACACCTGCAAGGTGAAGGTGAAGATGCTAAAAGGATTACGTCTTACACCAGGTATGATCTAATCACCTGCGGTAAACCTTTGTCATATCATGGAGTTATCAAAAAAAAAGAAAAAAAAGCTTTTTATGCTGCGTGTGGGGAGGGAGATAAAGTCTAACACGAGCTTCAGAGGTGATCAGAATTTGTATACACTGTGCTTTTTTTCCTAAACTCTAACCCTCGTGTTTAAGTGAAATTTTAAACACTCATAGTGAATGAAACATTTTCTTCTTCAAGGCGGATTTCTGCAGCATCAATTAAAAAATAAATCTTAAAAATGAACATAAATCCACCTTTTCCCTTGGCTGTACTCCAGAGCCTTACAGTCTGGTCTTTGCTCCCAGATGCGAGATAGCAGCCACCTCCTCCAGACACTCCATTGGTTGCTATTACATGAGAGGAAAAAAAAAAAAAGTCTCATATACTTGTGTTGAATTGGCTTCTTCGTGCACAACGAACATATTTTAAAAAGAAAAATAAAGAGGATAATTTAAATACTGCCCAAATCACAACAGCGGTTGCCTCGGGGTGCTTTATATTGTAAGCTAAAGACCCGACAATAATACAAAGAAACACAACGTTACCTTCACCGTCTTCAGGTCTGGTGTAGAGGGCATCTTCATGGGCCAAAGGTGACCACGCCAGCGCATGGATCTCATCGTCGTGTCCACGGAGACGGTGAATCACCTCGCCTTTCTTACTCACATCAATCAGCACGATCATCCCATCTTTGTACCTACAGCAGCATTGTCACAGTTACTGACATCATGTTCACTGAATTTAAATTTTGATTCATTTACAATCAAGACTTCAAATGATCATCAAAACACGTTTATTGAGATTTTTGTCTGTTACCTACAGCTTTGTGAAAGACTTTAAAAGAACTGTAATCTAGATGCTCGACTGATCAAAAATGTTTCTTCAGACATTTTTTTCCTCAAACAAACCTGAGCTCAGAAAGTTGCCCTTCACACGAGTAAAATTTAAAGCGAGTTCTCTCTTTTATGGATAAAAACTACTTTGAAACACTTAGTAGTAGACCCACTTCACTCACTTTATAATGTTAATGTAACCTTTGACAGTCAGTTTGGTAAAATGCAGAAAAACTACCCTCGTTCATGCAAAGCGCTTTAATGTTCATGATCCAGCAGACTAATCTGTCCAGCGGTCGTCTTTCTTGGTATCCTTACCCAACAGCCACATAGCTCCAGGTATGAGGAGAGCAGGTGAGGCAGAAGATGGTTCTGGGCTCAGGGAAGAAGCTGGTCGTGTCACCCGTGTGGTACCAGTGACAGACCACCACGCCTTTCTCATCCCCGGACACCACCAGGTTTTTATCCACAGGGGACCAGTGCAGCGCTGATACGGAGCTCTGTGCACAAAAAGAGACCCGAGTGAGTGCGTGTCACAAGTTCTTCTTAGTCAGGTGTGTGCTGACGGGCAGCGAGCTGCTTCCAAAGACATTTATAGCAAATACTAAACACCAGATACTATTATCTAAATGTAAAAGCCTTTGTTAACATTTTGGCATGATGAATCAATATACTAACGTTTTTTAGGCGTTTCATGATTTGTCAAATAAATATCCTTTCTGGGTTTAAACATCTTCCCAATGATATTTAACCAACATGTCATTACATGCAGTTTATTATTCAGATGAATCCACAGACAAAATACTGCTTTAAGGCATCTGCTCAAGCAAATAATGGAAAATAAATATGCAATGCCCTCAGTAACCTTGACGACTGTTTTAAAAATGCCCTCGAGAGAGAATCACAGAGCTGCTGCAGACGATGTTTTTGCTGCGCATCCCACTGAGTCCTGTCGAGCTCTGATGCTTAACTTTCTTTCTCCAGACCTGGTCAGGGGTCCAGTCTCATCAAGGAGATTGGACCATTTCATATAAATGTGAAAAAAACAACGTGAGACGGCACAACACACATACAAGCTGCTTCCAAGTTGGTGTAGAGCACACAACATCCTGTAGGGGGCGCAAGCACGACACAAAACCTCTTTCTGTGTTAGTGGACACAGGACAGGACACTCACCTGATGAGCTGCGTGCTCCCTAATAAGAGTCTTGCTGCTGGAGTCCCAGAAACGGACACTGCCATCGCTGGAGGAGCTGACACAGATGTGACTCTGCCCTGCATGCTGGCAAAACGAGAAGCCGGACACCAAGTCCTTATGGCCCACGAGCTCACCTGAAAAAACACACAGAAAAGGACACTGATTTCACTGCGACTGGAGGATTAATCTGTTTAATTTCAATTATGATTTTAGCTTCCAACAGTTATAAACCCAAGACAAACTGGAGAAAATATACTAATAATTATTACTTTTCAGCTTCTAACTTAATCTATAATAGTAAATCATGAGGTTTTACTAGATACAAACTTTACATTAGAAATGTATAAAATACAGTAAACAGCTACTAAAGCTCTGAACTTGATGCCCTCTGTGCCCCCTTTAGACTCACCCCTGCATGCTAAAAGTATCACTGCTAGAAAGAGAGCACAGACTTGTGCTGGATTTAAAGTGCCAATCTAAATAAACAGTCCATCTGCATACACGTGCCTTTATTTTTGGCTTCTTCTTAATTTAGTTGTGCTGGCATTTTTGTAAATCAGTGGTGAAGTGGAAAAGATTGATTTTCTTCACATTTAAGTGATCCAAATAGATGATTTGATGAAGGACTTTTACTGGTATTTCAATAAGAAAATAAAATATACAATAGGTCTATTTTAGTGAGGGCTTTGTGGTGAAAAACAGCCAGTATTCTGAGCCTGCCTGACCATCCTGTGTCCTTCATCATCCTGCACACCCTCATTTAACAACAACAAAAGGTGAGGCAACAATGAGACAAACTCAAAACAGGAGTGGTTGTACAAGTGGAGGCCAATTACATTTTTCCCGCTTCATCTTTTTTGACTGTTTTGGGGTTTGTTTGTTTTTACTAGCATTGCATTTGGCTGGGGTCAGTGTCAGTAGAAAACAGTGGACCCTATAGAACCTGGGCAAGTACTCCAACTTCTCCAGGATGGCACATCACTAAGTTTCACTGCCAGGAGGTTTGTAGTGTCTCCCAGCACAGTCTCAAGAACGTGGAGGAGATTATAGGACACACAAAGATACTGTAGGAGAGCTGGACACAATGCTCGGCCTCTTGTGGTAAGAGTATACAGGCAGTTCCTGGAGAATGAAGAAACCACACTGACTGGCCCGCACCTAAATCCAATAAAACACATTTTTGCCATTGTGTTTTCTTCAACCTGACGCTACCTGGGTGTACAGACTAGCACCAGGACAAGCTCCTGGTACAGATCACAGAAAAGATCCCAAAGGATATCCATCGTCTCATTAGGAGCATGCCCTGACATTCTCAGAAATTAATACAAGCACATGAGGGCCATACAAACTACCATTAGATTAGCCTGTCACTGCATTTTTTCACACTGACTTTTGTGGTGTTTTTGGTAAGTTCATCATTTTTATTTCCATCGAATGTTGTAAAATCCTTTCATTGGTCACTGCAGCCCATCAAAGCCCGAGATCCTCTAATCTCTCCGATTTGGTCAGGCAGATACGTTGTACCTGAGTTTAACGCGGTGTTTCTGGCTGCAGGGACTAAAACACGAATGCCACGATCAAGTCTGTGCTATGTGTGGTGTCCAGCGGTGACTGCTCACTCACCTGCCACTCTACACGAAGATGCAGACACATCTATCAAGTAGATGATGTTTTTGGCCCCGACGCCCAGCAAACCGCTGCTGCTGACATCACTGCAGCGCGAGCAGTACCAGTTGGGAGAGGCGGGAAGCGACCGTTCCCGCATGACGCCCTGGATACTTTAAAAATATATATTTTTTTCTTTAATAAAGTCCTAGAAACCTAATCCAAACTTCTCACATGTTACCTGCACTATCGTAGCTACAACACTTAGGACCGTACACACAGCGTGGTGTCGTAAACCCTACCGGTGCTTACGACGGAAGCCTAGCTGGGACAATCTAAAATCCCAGGTTGTCGAGTTAAAAGCAATAATTTCCAAAATTTATTTTGAACAAAAACAAAAGCTATTTATTAATTTCCCTTTTAATACGACATTTAAATGACGATAAATAACTAAAGTAAAGGAATTACATGCGTTGTGAAAACGCAATAGACTAATATTGACACTGCCATAAAGCGAAGGCATGAATGTCGTAAAAAACCAACATGGCGGCTGCAATGACAGGACGTGGTGAGAGAAATGCAGATATATTAGCCAATAGTTGACCGTTTCGTTGTATTTATAATAAACCTCGTCTACAGTTTAAGTAAAGTGATGTCTTCTCGTTTTCAGGTGTCTCTTTTATTAGGAGTATACCTTCGGTGTTACTCTCACGGTAAGTGCATCAATACGAGTGGCAGGTTAGCTGTACCGCTAACGCTCTCTGCAGAAGGACAAATCCAGCTCAGATTGGCTTTTTATGTTACCCAGTCCTGCATCATTAGAGTGGGAATTCCGGGTATCAATTGAAGACAGTGTAGGAAGTTATCTTAATTTTACAGCCGCTATTTCTTCAAGTTTAGGTAACCAAGAAACTCAGTATAGTTAGTCTTGGGAGAAAAAGAAGGCTATTGGATTTCTTTAGGTTTGTAAAGACGTTTCATCTCTCATCCAAGATGTTGCTTCAGTTTATAAAAAAAAAAAAAAGAAAAGAAATGATGTATAGTCCCGCTTATTTAATTTTCTAGGTGGGTTTATATCCTTTGAAGGTAGTCCTGAGGGTCGTTGATCTATTTTTGATCACCCATCATGAGACCATGACTATTATGTGAACACTGGCATCACTGAAAGAGTGACCTTCATGCTTTTGGTGCACATGTACAGTTGGGTCTTGTCCTGTTGTGAACCGACTGTTGGGTTTCTCCTGTGTGCAGATCTGAGCACTCCTTGCTGTACTGCATGCACTATGTGGCTTAGCTTGTGTGACAGTTGAGATAAACCAGTTTTTGTCTCAGAGAAAGTCACAAATATTTTCTACAAATAGGACATCCCAGTGCTCTTCAGAACCAGCAACACCCTTACTATTTACTCCCCAGTCAACTCTAGCGTGCAATATAATGCAGTTAATGTGGAACAGGGTCATTAAACTGAAATGTCTGATTTAGAGGATATGGAAAACAAATCTTAATAACCTTTAAACCTTTAATTAGCGTATTGAATTTATATGTTCAAAAATGTCAGTTTAATGATTTGAAAAAAAAGTTTTTGTACATTTGCTTACAGACTGCATGTGCTGACTTATTATTAATAATGATAATAATAATAATAATAATAATAATGCAACAAATAAGGATCTTTTATTAGGATTCATTATGACGTATTATTTTCAGTCGGGTTTGTTGTGATTGTATGATATTTGTGCCACAATTTATTTGCTTAACAGTTAAAATATTTGTTGGAAATTTGATGGATGTAAAATTATTAACAAGCTGAATATGGCAAACACACAGCAACACCATCGAGTTCAGCTAAAACCTTCATATGAAATTATGAAACAACAAAGAAGAATTCTGATGAATGAAGAGACTCCGTTCTTCTCACGAGCAATTCCTTATAGAACTTTAGGAAATTCTTACAGTGTAACACCAGTGACACAACTCCAGGGGTCCGTTACTTTCTCCTGATATTTTCTAATATTTTATATTTTATGTTGTTATGTTTATTGTATATTTGATAGTCATAGATAAATTATTGCATTTTTTTTTTTTTGGAATTCCATAGTGGTAAACCCCCCCCCAACATGGTTCAGCTTCAGGGTTAAAGCACCTCCTCAGTTTCTTCTGTCCTGGCAGCAGCACATGGTAGCATCTCATCTCAAGTTTGGTGGACAGTCTTTTCGGGTGGCCGGGATCTGGTGAGATCCTATTGGCTCAGATCTGCAGCATTTGATGTATATGTCCCGTTGGGTGCACCTCCCGATCTTGGGAATGATTCTCTCTATTGAAATTTTTCCTGGGTGGAAGTTTGAAGTTCTTTAATCATCTGAGTTGGTAGAGGCATTGATGGGCTTTCTTTACCAGTGGGGTGTCTAGGATGATGTAAACATCAAGGTATTTGAAGTTATCCAGTTATCCACCAGGGCTCCTTTAATGCTTAGAGGGTGGAAACTTTTCTGCTGTTTCATGTTAATGTCCACTGGGGCTGGGCCATATCATACCGTTCACGGTAATACC